CTGTCCATCGAGCCGTAGCCACGTGTCTATTCTTTCCCTGGTGGTGGTCAACCCCGAGAACGCGTAATTAACGTGATGACTGCAAAACGCCTTCAATGCCTTTATCGACCGACAGAGCGCCACGCATCGTTGGCTTCTGAACGCCGTAAAATACACAACCAGCATAACTGTTCTGGTCGATGGTGCCATCGATCGACCATCGACTGGTCATTGGAGGTGAATACGTCGTCGACGTCGTCCAAAAGTATCCCGCTGTCACGACATGTGCCCTTCGTCTGTACCACGCCAATATTAGGTTTCTCGTTGATACCGCCAAAAGCGAGACCGTAATTAGCCTCCCTGCCTACAGTGCCCAGCAGACGCTGCAGGGTAATTTCCAAATTAAAATTGTAAATATATTATGCAAATGATCAATGATTGCTTTCTGGTAATGCTGCCGGAAGTCGTCTTCCTAAATCAGCTGTTGTCGCATGACCTTGAAATTCACTGTAAATTTAACCACGCCGACATGATAATTATTATTAATTATTTAATGATCACGTGCAGAGACGGACAGAACGCAGGACTCGTATTGCCGTAATGTCCCGCCTGCGGCTACCTTGGCCCTGACCTTCATCACAATGACATCATAGACTCTGTCCTCAAACTGCCACGTTTGGCAATCGATCGTCGTGGACTGTAGCTCGTTAGATTCGACTCGTTAATGCGAATTTTAAGGCTATGCAAATTTTCCATTCAAACGCATGATAGTACTTGAACATGATCACGCAGCAAAGATGCACGTAATGTGATAGATTTTTCCATGACAGCCTTGAAAGCAATCTTTTGCATGTATTCGCTCAATTACCTTGTGCTAATAACTGCTCTGCCGCGAAGTAGCTGATTTCGAACAACAATCATCGCGCGTCACTTGTTGGGTTGTACTGTAGCTGGCAATAGTTAAACACGTATTTTTAGTCACGTGATTGACGAACTTTCTGTTGGATGGCTGAAGTTGCTGCTGCGCGATTACTGTAGGAATCAACTACGATAGTTGGTTCTTGCAGGATAGCCATCGCCCGATAGTATGCAACATGAATGCGTTGCTGGTGATCATTTGAAAAACCGATCATTAACCGATTTTTGTTTGGTAACCGATATTCAGAGGCAGCACAACGGAAATCCCTACAGAGAATCAACGACCCGGGTGGTTCAGTAAGCTTAGCTCAGTCCATTGTGGGGGTATTCAAACCGCTTGGTTATAAGCCAATGGAACCCTGCTTATTTATTCATATGCCACGTGAGCAAGCGTGTCCCCCGGTGCTGAGTTCAGCTGCGTCAACTAGCGTCGACGGGGTGGGCCGCCGGTGTGACGTGATCAAACACTACGAACAGCTGTCTTTGTCCGTTGATCCCCAACATTCGTCGATCTATCAGTACGTAGCATTGCAACGTCAGTGTGTCTCTGCTAAGTTTCTTTTGAAGGTAACAGGGCACAAAATCATGACTCTTATCAGGATCACTGAAAATTTTTTGTGGAATATTGAACATGCACAGATCAAAATTAACTCACAGTTTAGTTAATTCACAGTAAGTCCACGAGAGTATATCAAGAAACTGATTCGTAAACTAGCTGATGTGGAAAACAGCACAAAGTATAATTTTAAATATGCAACGTAAAAAAATAATATAGCTAATAAGATTAATAATTAACGCTCACATTTTGATCCTTGTTATATGAGACTTTTTCAAGGTAAAAGCATCGTAGAGCCTTGTCGCTCCTAGTCGGAAACTATTTAACGAGTGGTACAGACCACAAACCTGCCTTTTGGCTCCAAACCCTTCATCCTTTGCGGGTAGCAAGGAAAATCTCAAAAATTTTACCAACCTTCTACATTAATTAGGCTCGTGAGACACCGACACAAGTCAGTGTTGTTTAATCATCTGACTGACCATATTCTTGCGTTATACATTAATAACTTATGTTGTGTACTATTTTAAATACGATCCCCTTTGCACGAACGAAATACTCAGTCTATATGCATGGTTACACT